AATGCTCGGCATTCTCAATAGCGTTAACGTATGCATTGGCAATCGAATGCTCCGTAGGGTGGCCAGCAGACCACTCGCAGCAACTTTAAGATAGTCAGTATTGTATAGTTAACCCAACTATAACCATTTATAGGAGGGAATGTGGACTCGCCTTCTGCAGAGCTGGATCTTAATGCCACCAGAATGGTCGTAGTTATCACCACCTCGGCTGCGGTGTTCTTCTTCTTCGCCTCCATCGCCCACGAGTCGTCTCATACCGCGATTAAAATGGCCCTGGAAATCGTCGAACATGCCATGGTGTTGTTCTCCGCGGGACCTTTCGGCAGAACCGCCTACCACAATTCTCTGGTACTTGCCAGTATCTTTCTTGGTATATTTCTCATTGTATATGAAGTTCCTGAGACTGTGTTAATTACGTTCTATGACTCTTTCACAAGCACTTACCATCGGTCCGTAAAGTGGTCGATGAGATTGTGCACGATAGGGCCTTTGAGGGAAATGGCAATATCAGACCAGCCCATCCTTGAGTTCTTCGTTCGGTCGACTGTTCTCTCGGTTAGAATATTTGCCGGATCGACCGGTATCAATAACTCACGTTGGTTATGATCCCAGTTATCTACACCTTCGAAGTCGTAGATACGAGCATTGTTGAAATCTTGACCGGGGAAGACAATTGCATCTAAATTACCGGGATGGGCATCGGCAATAGGGTGGCCTATTCGTTTTCGGTAAGCCGAGGCGTCGATATAAGTACCACAGGGTAGAACTCACTGTTTGTATCGTATCTTCCAAAGCCTGGAGATATATTAGTGCCAATTCAGGGGTTTGGACGTTCCACATACACATATCGAGACCACCCATGAAGGCGAGGCGTCGATCGACGACGCATAGCTTCTCGTGATGGGCCCAGTACAGTACAGTATCACCAAATGAGCCATAAAGTTCCTTTAGTGCCTCTCCGGAGACTTTGGACAAGCTAAAGTCATTCAACTTGAGGTTGTCTAGCGATAAATCGGCAAAGGCGGTCTCAAGCTTTGCTCGGTCTGTCGGCAGATGATCGGGGTGTCTAAACACTTTGATATTTGGATGCAAGGCCTCCAGGGCGTGCTTGGTATGCTAACGAGGATAATCAGTAAGTTGCGTAAGTCTTGGGTATAATATATATAATATAGATGCTCACCGCAGAGTCCACTGGTGGTCGCCCAATAGGTTAGCTGAACTTGCAGTGACAAAAACTAAGTTAAGGAATATCATACGGGTTAGGGCCTGGGTGACCTCCTTGTATACGATGATACGTATTTCAACGCCCCTATCAGCAGCCGCCCGAAGCATGTTGTCGAGACGGTACTGCTCATTGCGTGAAGGAGGACGGCGAAGGTAGAGCTCCGGACTTAGCCACCAGTCCAGAATATACACGCTTTCTCTAGCCTCTGTGTTTTAAATTAGCAGAGCTACTCGCAGTATTTATTATACTTATTTATTATACTGGGCTTTATAACATTGCATACCTTCAAGAGCTAAAGATACGGCGTAGAAGTACGATGCTCCATCGACATACCACTTGACAGAGCCAGTAGTCTGAGGTGCAAAGGACTGGAAACGATGGTTAGTTGGCACCTGTTGCGAAACGGGACCTTCGTTATCCTGCTGGGCCTGCTGGGAATGTTCCTCGTTGCCCCCCTTTAAGGCCTCCTTCACATCTTTAAAGGCATCTTCCGCCTTCTGCAGAAATTGCTCCATATTGGATATGATGGGATTGTAAGTAATATGTAGGTAGGTTAAATAGTAGATTGGTAAAAAGGTGGTGAGGAATCTATATATCTAGACCTCATAGAAAAGGAAATTGACAATGGATTGGAGGATTTAAATGGTTACCTAGGTAAGCTACGGTAATCCAAGATTTAGCTACGGTTTGTATACAAATCTGTATTCAAGACGACCGTTGCGGTCAGGTTTGAATCACAGCTCTTATGTCGTGGAGGGGTGACCAAGTCCCTTCCCTTGGTGGGACCCGGGATACGGCTGTCAAGCTGAAGCATTGGTTTGCATTGGCTTGCATCAGCCCCCATAATGATCACAACGAACAAATCAAGAGTGAATATAGCTTTCTCAATCCGATTTATGAATGGTCACACCTGGTAACCAAGCCCTTCTAAGCTGATGTATTGATAGGATATAGGATACTAACAGGCCTATTAGATGCGACTGTACCCCTCTCCCCCTCCCCCACCAGGTTATAAGTTGTAGTTTATAACAGATAATTATGCACTATACAGAATACGGTATTGAGCATCCGATTTGTGGGATGAAGAGGAGACTTTGCAGCGTTGGTGAGCGACGGAGGGGCATCAAAGATGTTTCAAGGAGAATAAGTTAATAAGTTACCCGCACTTACAACAGTTAGTTAGGTACTAGTTCAGGTACATACCTTAGGTAACTAACCTAATATAACCCGAAGTAATGCATGTACCCATGTCGCGTGACAGTGTATAATAATTTGTGCAACCAACTCTAGTCTCTCGGTACCTACACTAATCTGTACAAAGTATGTACGTACATAGAGAGAGTAAGGCAGGCGGTAAGCATCGGGACTCATCGTCACCGCCTTCTGTAACAAGCCAAAAAGACCGGACGAATTCTAGACCCACTAAAATTTTCAAATTGTCCCATTCTCTGCGACAACTTGCGACTTGCGACTTGCGACTTTACATGCGCAAACCTACAATCAAGTCAATTGACGAGATATAGTAGTGCTCAAACTAAGGGCCAATCAATTCAAGATGCCTAAAAAAGAATCCAAGAAGCAAGATGCCCCGTCTGCGAAGGGCGATTCACGATTCGCTAACTTCGAATCCGACCCTCGTTTCCGCCTACCCTCCAAGAGTCGCACCAAGACTACTATAGACAAACGTTTCTCACGTATGCTTAAGGATGAGGATTTCGTCGCGAGTGCTAAAGTCGATAAATACGGTCGCAAGTTGAAGTCGGATAATAAAAAGAAGGCCCTGCAAAATATATACCAAGCCGAGGACGACGAGGACGCCCAAGTGGATGAGGATCGTGTTGTTGAGCGTGAACTTCAAAAAGCCAATACTAAATATGACCCTGCTCGTGGTGGTGGGTTCTCGTCTTCCGAATCCGACTCGGATGACTCGGATGACGAAGATGATAAAAACGAAGAGGATGAGGAGGCCGAAGTAGCTACGTCTGGGAGTATGCAAAGGTTACGCGACGCTCAAGCAGACGTCGAAACGGGAGAGGTCACGAAGCGGATAGCAATCGTTAATCTAGATTGGGATTATATAAAGTCCGCCGATTTGATGGCTCTTTTCTCTAGTTTTGTGCCTAAAGGTGGACGGATCGAGCGAGTTTCCATCTACCCGAGCGAGTTTGGCAAGGAGAGGATGCAAAGGGAAGAGTTGGAAGGGCCTCCCAGGGAGATATTCAAGAAGTCCTCCGAGCACCAGGACGAAGAATCCGAGCCTGACTCCGAAGATAGCGACGATGACGAAGAGGATGACGAAAAGATAAAAAACGAAATCATCCAGGAAGGAGATGATCAAGACTTTGACAGTGATGCACTTCGAGCTTACCAGCTGGACCGGTTGCGCTACTATTATGCCGTCGTGGTATGCTCTGATACGGCGACAGCAGAGAAGATATATGCTGCGACGGATGGCACAGAATACCAGGCATCTTCGAATTTTATGGACTTGAGATTTATACCTGATGATGTCACATTCGATGATGAGCCGAGGGATGAGTGCGATTCCATATCGCCTGATTACAAACCAACCGAGTTCACAACTGATGCTTTACAACATTCTAAGGTTAAACTTACTTGGGATATACATCCCGAAGAGACGACTAGGAGGGAGAATATCAAGCGGGCATTCAGTGGTAGTCGCGCAGAAATTGAAGAGAATGATCTGCGCGCTTATCTTGCAAGCGATAATAGTGACGACGAGGACGCTCAGAGCGAAGGAGAGGAGGACCAGGCCGAAGTTGCAGACGATCAGCCGAAATTGACGAAAAGGGAGTTAAAAGCAAAGAAACTTCGTGAAGCTCTCGGTTTGAGTTCCGAACCGTTGTCGCGGCCTTCAAAATCTGGTCCGGTCGGAGATATGCAAATTACATTCTCCGCCGCGCTGATGGACGATGGTAAAAAGAAGAAAGAACCGGATGCCGAAGAGACTACGATCGAAAAATACATGCGTAAAGAGCGAGAAAGGAAAGCTCGGAAGAAGGAGAAAGCTGTCACGAAACGTGATGAAGGTTCCGGCCAAGAAGATGATGAGACCGAGCAACCCAAGGACGATCTCGCTTTTGATGACCCCTTTTTTACAACTGATGAGCCGGTTAAAAAGTCGAAACATAGCGAAAAGAAGGAAGAACGCCGCAAGAGACGAGAAGCAAAAGAAGCTGAAGCAGCCGAGAATGCTGCTCAGAAGGCCCAATTGGAGCGACTCATGGCTGAAGATTCCAAGGATGCTGCTGAACATCTCGACCATTTCGACATGAACGAGATTACTCGCGCGGAAAAGCAGAAATCCAAGAAGCACAAGAAGAGAAAGAAGGAAGTGGAAGACCATGGTGGTCTCCAAGAAGGATTCGAGATGGATGTTAAAGACGATCGATTCAAGGCTGTCTTTGATAGCCATGAGTTCGCTATTGATCCTTCGAACCCGCGATACAAGGCTACGCCAGGAATGAAGCAGCTGCTTGAGGAGAGGCGCAAGAAGCGGAAAACAGACACCGATGCTCCTGATGGGCAGCAGCGGCAGAATGGCAAAGCTAAGAAGCAAAGGAGATAGGTACATATCGCCTCTGATCTACACGTGTTAGGTCATAGGTTAAGCCCGCTTTATAGTCCTGCGTGATATATTCCTACGATATCCAATTATAGACATCGTCCCCAATACGAATATTGGCACGTAAATGTCTATAATGTCATTCTAATAAAATCCCCAACTTTGAACTTCACTTATGCCACTCGGAGACTAAATGCATGCGTTTGATTTATATAGTATCAGGTGAAGAACGTGCTTTTTGACTATCTACAAGATAGTTTGGCCTAGTGACGGGTTTTTACCCTTTGTCCATAATCTGAATATTCACTAGCCATGGGTTGATTATGCGTATTCCCAGGCATCCGGTCCAGAGGACGTGTAAGTCCTTACCCCGGTATTTAAGCAGTTCTCAGTCCCGCGGCCGACGTATATCTGGTACGTTCTCTCTCTCGGCTCACCCTCGCTAACCGGGCACATCAGCCAGGGCTGGCCGGCGTTTCCTAACACTACAGGAGCTCCAAACGACTCGCTGCGCTGTCTCTCGAAGCCGGTGGAAACGGATCCCTCGGGCAGCGCCCCAGAATGTGGTATAGTGTACGACAGCGAGCCATCCTCTGCGATATAGACTATGGGGTAGGTACGCTTTAGCTATCTTGAATGTTGAAGCGTGGATACTAAATATAAATATAGGCAAGCATCTCTTCTTACATACCTTGCTGTCCGCCCGGAACCCCGACGTTTAGGAATAAAGTGTTATTGCCGCCTGCGAATACCGTCTTGGATCCCGGATAAAGAGAGCAGTCGAGGTTCTCTACGTCCCCCGGGCAATAAGCGGACGTGTTCTTGTTGACGTAGAACTTTCCGCCGCTGGCGTTGATGGCGTCGCCGGCGAAAAAGTAGTCGTCGTCGGCGGGCATTCTCCAGACGCCAGCAGTCCACTTGTGAGAGAGAGTTAGAAGCTATCCGTTACTTGGTAATGTACCTTAGGTTAGGTTGGTAGGTATTTGTTTATTCTACGTACGGGACCTTCTGGGACGGACCCAGCGCGCGGTATAATCGCTGCTGCGAGAGTGACGGCCGGGCCGACGAGTAAAGCTGTGAGGGCTCGCATAGCTACGGCGTAATTGTATTATATGCTGATATGTATGTGCCGATATGTTGGTGGGTGGAAGGGGATGATTACTCTAGCGATATAGAAGAGTACTTAGTCTTACATAGTTGCGGTTAGACGTGAAGGAGCGAGCATATTTATAGTCTATGAATGTATGAAAAAGGGGTTAACTCTATAATAAAGGGCAATAGCTCTATTCGGATCGATAAAATCGCATGGATACGAAGTTATGGAGCTATGCTATGGCACGTTACTTGGAGGATAATTAGCCACTTGTATACCCATGCGTCGAGAAGCGCAAGTATTTATATTAATACGAGGAAATACGTAAGACTTAAGTAAGTGTCCCGTTAAGTGTCCCGTTTGTGCAGGGTTCCATTCGTTGGTAATTGCCTAATTATAGCCCAACACGTTTGGTAGCATTAGTGTAGATTTCGAGCCAGCTGCCCTGTTTCTATTGGTGAGATGTTTTATATCTTATAATCTTGGCCAGTTCTCTTATTAATACTCCGAGTATACCGGTTTAAAGGGAATCTTAGATTCGGTGGTTGACCCCTTAGTGATAAGGTGGTAAAGAGGTCGGTATGTTGCAATTGATGTGGCGAGGAAGCTGACCATGATCTCTATCGCGCTGAGCATTGTTGATGGCACGTATTGCCCTAAATATTGTTTTATTTTTATCAGAAATATTCAGGAAAAGCTGAAGCATTGCCTAGGTAGCTTCTGGGTCCGTACAGAACTACTCGCAACTTGGGTCTGAGCTATTCCCCAGCCTGGTAATATATCTAAGCTGGACTAGACTGATTATGCAAGCACTGAGGAAGGATTAGAGAAGAAACATGCAGGAACGGAATAGGTATAATAGAAAGTAGTTGACTCGCCTCCCTCATACAGAGAAAATAATGATCAGCCTGCGCTTCTGCGATTTTGATGTATTGAGTCTTATAATTAGGGGAATAGGCATGCCGATAGTCGTCAAGTCGGTAGTAATGTTAATAATTAGTAATGATAGAGAAAGGCACTGAGAGATGGTCTTACTAGGGCAGAAATAGTTGTATTAGGTAGCTGGGTACCGTATCATTCTTAAGAAGGTATCTCGTAAGAGTCTCTGGGTATACCGCATGTTGGCTGGTTGAGTGACTTGGAATACGTACGAAACATGCAGATACGAAACTTCTATATGAATCCTGCAATATAGTAATTACTCGCGATACACACTAATGAAGCTTCACAGTATAGTATAAACCCCCCTCACTCACACGTTATTCTTGCTGTTTATTGCTCTTCATCCAACACATTTCAGACTCGGCCATATATTGATACTCAAAAGCGTACCTTGGGTAGTCATACAATAATCGTGGTACGTGTCGCCCGAGAGTCAGTTATAGACGTTATGCAGTGCCATCGGCTGGACGAGTGTATACGCTCTGCACATTGCAACATGCTTTCAGGCCCTCGACGGCCATTGCACTTCCGAGCCCGCTCTGCTTGTGACCTGAAAACGGGGCGCTCGCTTGTATCTCGGCGTGTGTGTTGATCCAAATATTACCAGCCTGAAGCTGCTTCCCCAGACGCTCAGCTTGGTCTATATCTCGACTCCACACAGATGCACCGAGGCCCATGCTGGTATTATTAGCCCTGGAAATAACATCGGCTTCATCTGACCATTTCATTAGGGGAAGAATAGGTCCTATTGCACATGGGAATCGTATTAGTACCTGCACATATCTTAATTATCTGCGATTAACTCACCGAACTGCTCTTCTACGACAATCCGTGCGTCGTCTGGTGGGTTATCGATGATCGTTGGGATGATGTAGTAACCGCCCATATCCGATGGAGGCTTCGTACTCCCCGTTGCAACCGTAAGCTTTGTGCTTTCCACATTCAGGAGTAAGTCCCTGATGCGCTCGAACTGATCTTTGTTGCATATTGGTCCTGCAAAAGCGTCCTCGCCAGAGCCCAACTTCAATGCTTTTGCAAACTCGACAATCGTAGCCAGCACGGCGTCATAAACTGCCTCGTGGACATATACTCGTTTTATCGCTATGCATATCTGGCCTGAGTGGCAGAAAGCAGCAGAAGCGATTTTTACCGCCACAGAGGCGGGATCGACGTCAGCACAAACGATAGCTGGATCGTTACCACCTAATTCTAGTACCACTCGCTTCAATGTCTTGCTACAAGACTCCATTACCTTTTTCCCCACCGAAATACTACCAGTGAAGGTCACCATTTGAACATTTGGATGTTCGGTTAGTAACTGCGGAGCTTGAAGTCAGTATATGCTCGATAAAGCCCGAAATAGATTCTCTAGAAGACAATCTATGCTATAGGGGGGGAAGGGAGATTCTGGTGTTAAATGCGACTTACAGCCCCCAAATCGTTATCCCCACTCAAGGCTTGGAACACACCGGGAGGGAAAAAGCGTTGGGCTAATTCAGCAAACTTGAGGCTGCAGTAAGGCGTATAGGGAGATGGCTTCAATATAAAGGCGTTGCCAGTCAGTACAGCAGGCACCATCTTCATACATAAGAGTTGAACAGGGAAATTCCAAGGAGCAATCCCGGCCACAACACCAACAGGCGTGTATCGCTTAACAACTTTGCGGTTTTCTGTGTCTTCAATGACTTCGCTAGGAAGGGATAGCTGACAGAATCCCCTGAGATATTCAACACATGTGTTGATTTCCTGTCGAGCCAAATTGATCTACCGATAGGTACACAGTAAGCTCATCTGCAGTAGCAAAAACAGGTTCGACCGGACCATGCACTGAAAATACACTCACGGGTTTTCCGGTCTCCTTCATTAGGAGCCGGGCAAAGTCTTCGGCTTTACCTTCGACGGCATTGGCGTATTCTCCGATTGCGCTCACGCGTTCGTCCCAGGGGACCTTAGCCCATAATTTTGCTGCTCTCTCGGCCGCTTCGACGGCTCGGTTGACATCGTGTAGCGAAATCACGGGAACTGCTGGGTTGTTCTCTAGAGTGAAAGGGTTTATGCCGTAACGGACGTTATTCTGGGTGGACGAGAGTTCCCCGTCGATTACATTGTAGAATATATCGAAGTCAAGAGGGGAGAATACAGCCTTATTGGAGGCCATTCTGTCTTTATTTCACCAAAGGCTTTTTGAATTTGTATATTAGAAATGCTGAACTAAGTGGAGGGCAGAGATGAGGACGGATGGTACCTATTGCTAATCAAATAAGCTGAGAGTCAATGGCTATTCAAGGTTGTATTACCGCGCCATTTCTTGTGTGTTGGCATTCATTCCGGTGCCTAACCAGCCCATGACAAAGTCTTCTACATGCATATGCCTGCCGCTTTTACGAGAAGGATCTGTGTATCCTAATGATATAAGTAGGGCCTTAGATTGGCTTGCAATGTACAGAACTGATAGGTCGCTACAGCTGTGTGACCTCAATCTACGCCATCATTTGCTCCGGCGTGGCGCAATATTGACGCTCATATCGAACGACTTAGAGGGGAGTTGTATGGTGTCGGTATAATCATATCCAATCTCAGCGTACCTGTTAGAGTTGAATCATCGCCGCTTTCTTCCAAAGTTCCAGTCGATGTCAACACTGTCTTGGGCCCTGTAAAGGATATCGTCACCGGTCCGCTTGTCCAACGATAATTTCAACGAAACCCGAGAAAGGGGGGAGTAGATACAAGGTATGGCACCACCGGCTGTGACTTCGAAATCGCATGTTTTAGTATTCCGTATGATAGGGTCTGATCGTGGTATTATTGGCGGTATATACTTTACGCGACTTTCTCGCACTGGCTATTTTCTACTTGACCTGGCTGATGAGTTGCAGCTGTATGAATACCTACCTATTGATGTAAAAAAAATAGGGGCGATACTGTATTACTTATTTGGCCTGGGTAGAAGGTATATACCTATATACGCTACTTACTTATATAACTTCGCTCATGACATTATATTATATCACACACGCACGAAAAAGACTTGATGCAAAAAGTAAAGCTCATAACTCGATTATCGATACGTTAGCTGTTGAAAATAAAAAGGGGTAGCTGACGGAAAAGGGGTGTACGGGCCTAAAACTCACTTAGCAGTATGATCTTGTAGTTACCTACATAACTTGTAACTACTCGAATGAGTAGCCAACTCTATAACATGAGCTTTTCACTATTATTACATCTGAGTGTTCTACTTGCTACTCAACTTAATAAGGTCCACACCACAATATCTCATTTACGCGAGACATATACATATAAGTTCACATCCAATTTATATGTAACAGTCAAATACATTCATTGCAAGGATGTTCTGCCGAGTAAACTCCAAAGAATCAGTCAGTGATCGACGAAGCGGTCCCTCCCCTCCACTGTCCAGGCCGACCTCGCAAGCGGCGTTCTTCCCCGCACAGAAGCGAACACAAAAAACACATACCCTGATACCTACCTACCTCCTAAGCTACCTTCTTCAAGCTGGGTGCGATCAGCAATCTTCTCCAACGACAGGATCTACTAGAGGTAGTAGCAGAGTAGCTAGTTACCTACCTGTTAGAAGAAAATCCCCTCGGAGGTTTTAGACTAGGTTAGAGCTGAGCCGAGAGTCTTGGTGCCCAATTGGATAATCATCTATCGTGGCTATAGACTAAACGAGCCATGCCTTCGGATAGGGTGCAGGATTCGTCTTCACATGCCTTTCCTACCAAGCAACTCACTATCCTCGGTGCGTAACCCAGGTCCCTACCTACCTACCTACCTATCTACCTTACCACCTACCAAACAACCCTTCAAAAACGCTCGACTTACATCCTGACCGGCCGCAATCAAAACAGCAATATGTCGCTTCTCGGAGCCCATCGCCTTCAACTCCATCCTCGCGTACACGTACGTCATGGTGCAAGACCTGCACGGCGGCGACGATACCGACGCGTCCTTCTACGCCGGTCTCCTGGTCTCGGCGTATGCCGTCGCCGAGGCCCTGACGGCGATTGGCTGGGGCGCCCTCTCGGACAGATACGGGAGAAAGCCGGTCGTGCTCTTCGGGCTCGGGGGCGTAGCCGTTTCGAGTCTCATTTTCGGGCTAGCGACCGAGTACTGGGTGGCGCTATTGGCTAGATTTATCGGCGGGGCCTTGAATGGGAATGTTGCTGTAAGTGAAGCTTTTTTATCTTTTTATTTACTAACTACCTAACCTAATTCGTTGAATTTTGTTCTTCCTCGTCCCATTTAGTTAGATAAATACCTAAGTAGTCTATATTGGCATCTTTTGATCGTGACTTAAATAATTGCTTACACTGATTACAGGTGATGCAAACGATGGTTGCGGAAATGGTCAAGATGCCAGAGCACGAGCCGAAAGCTTATGCCTCTCAGCCCTTCGTCTGGACCCTAGGGGGTATTATAGGTTCCGCTATGGGGGGTTTTCTAGCCCAACCGGCGATATTCTACCCTTCACTGTTTCCCGCCGATGGTATCTTCGGAAGGTATCCTTATTTATTGCCAAACCTTGTGTCGGTCATTGTCATCGTGTTAGCTATTATACAGGGGATACTCTTCCTCCAGGAGACCAACCCGCGACACAGAAAGGCCACTCCTGAGACCGTCTTCGAAGAGGATGACGACATCGTCGATGAGCGTACTCCGCTCCACCGCCGCCCCAAGGATCGAAGATCGTCTATTAGGAGTCACTCGTGCGCCGCGAGTGATAGACCGGTATTCACCGAGGAGAGTCTACCAGTGCCAGTCGAGCAGAATTTCGACCTGAGGAGATCGTCTTTTGGGACCGTGTGTTCGATCAAGCACCTTCCTAGCACCCCGAAGCAGAACGAGATATTTAATGGCCGGGCCTTCAATTTCACTATCATAATGGTTACCATCGCGCTCGTCCTGGTTTCGTACCATCAGATGGCATTCAACACCCTTCTACCTACGCACCTCTTGGATAAACCAGCGACAGCTCCAGGCCAACTTGATTTAATCGGTGGCTTAGGATACACTGTCCACGACGTAGGAATCTACTTGTCGGTTAATGGAATCCTCGGTCTGCTCATCCAGGGGTTCATATTCCCGATTTTCGTGGATAAAGTCGGAGTATGGAAGTCTTTTTTCATCAATATCGTTTTCTATCCTCTAGCATACGTGGTCATGCCTTTCTTATCTGCTTTACCTCCCTCGCTTGTATCCCCCGGAATTTATTTCTCTATGATCTTGCAAAGCCTCTTCGGTATCATTGTTATCCCCTGCGCTCTCATTTTGATTAAAGATGCCACGCCGTCCCCGCTCGTGCTTGGGAAGGTCAACGGACTAGCTATGTCTGCTTGCTGTTTAGCTCGAACCGTATCCCCGCCACTAGTAGGTATCATCTACAGCGCTGGCGGTTCCGCGGCTGCTTGGTTTAGCTGCTCTGGTGTTGCCGTGGTTGGGATTGTACAGCTCCTCTGGGTACCAAGGAAGCATGTACGTAATATTGTGGTTAAGAATAGTACGATAGAAGCTGGAATATGCCCTGCCATATCGGAGTAATGCATTTCAAACATCATCATTTCCGCGAAGGAGTTAGATACGCATATGATTTTTTTTTTCTATTTGCATAGAAACTTGGTCATTAGGGTTAGTTATTGGGTATATAGATTGGCATAATTTCTTTTGGTATCTGTCATACCGAGGCCAAGTTGGGATAGAAAGAAGGTCAGGACTGCTACACATGAGGTAATGATATTATGATCTCACGCGTCGATAGATTGGATATTCGACAACCGCATTTTATTGAATTTGGAGCAACGAGGTATATGATCTAGCGATAATTCCGTAGATACCAATTTAAGCATATTTTCTCACTCCTATGACGCCGAGGGCTGTTCTTCATTAATTAGGCTGGATTGTTATAAAAAAAAGAAAAAAAAAAAGGTATGGTACAAGAGGAATCTAACCTCTAATGATGGACTCGCGGGGAATCGAACCCCGGACCACTCCCATGCTAAGGGAGTATTATACCACTAAACCACAAGCCCGTATCGTTGTAGAACCGTGTGAGAAATGAATCTCGGCTGTTGAGATTTTTGCGCTGTTGTATTTAATTATAGAACTAAATTTTGCAAGATGGGGCGACGATGGGGCTACGAATGGGGGCAGCCCTAATCAAACGCGATTGTAGACAAATCCACTCGCATATATGATATGGGTTTGTGTTCTATTGAGTCTTTCATGCGAATGCGATCGATAGCGCTAGGCGAATTGTAAGTGATATGCGCCTCTATAATCCGGACGTACATAATCTGAGATATTGCTGTTTCTTATCCGCATCAAGTTCTAAAGCTCCCTTTCAGAGTATCGCAGTTAATATAAAAAAGAGTAGTTATAATTTATAATTCGCTCCGAATGCCGCCCATCAGAAGCGCATCGACCTTCGACCCTTTCTTGAGAGGCTCCTTGCCGCTCGGCATGCACAATAAGCAATTGGCACCTCTAAGACTGCCAACCCTAGAACTTCGTTGGCCGCCCGTGCTAGCAGCAAGCAGATTTCCATCTTTACCCACCGAGACGATTGCGCGATGGTACTCGGGCCGTGCCTTGTCCAAAACGAAGTCGTGCACGAGTGTTACGGGGACCCTTGTTAGGCCAACCGGTGAGATACCTGACATCTGGTGGAGAGAAGGTAAGACGAAGAGATGGAATGTGACGATGGCAGAGGCCGGGTTGCCAGGCAGAGAAAATATGACCTTCGTGACTCGCTCGCCGGCATTGTCCTTTACGGGAACGGTAGCAAACGTCGTTGGTTTACCCGGTTTCATTGCGACGCGGCCAAAATGGATTGTGCCGCCTAGTGACCTCTCGATTGTGGGCTTCAACAAGTCAAGCTCACCCATTGAAACTCCTCCTGTAGTTATGATGAAATCGACGCGCCGTAATGCGTCTCTTAGTGTCTCTTCCAGGGTACCGGGTTTATCTGCTGTGATCCCTAGGTCAACAACCTCGTACCCACACTCCTTCGTGGCGGTCATCAAAGTGATCCGGTTGGTATCGCGTACTTCTCCCAGCCGTAAATCGCCAGGCCGATCGTGCTGGACGATTTCGTCCCCGGTGGATAATACCCCTATGATTGGCTTACGGTAAGCTTTCACTTCGGCAACGCCGACAGCAGCAAGGAGACCTATTTCACCACCAACTGCTGATATCTGCTCGCCCTTGCTGAGAATAACTGTCCCTGCCTTGATATCGCTGCCAACCTCTCGAATATTCTCCCCTTCTTGTACCTCATCAGCGAGAATCTCTACCTCCTTCTCTTCCTTGCCATCGTCAGTCATGGTCTTCAGAATTGTATCCTCCACCATAATAACGGAAGTGGCCCCCGGAGGAAGTGGTGCCCCGGTAGTGATCCTGGCAATTTCTCCTTCCTTTAACGGCTCAACCTCTCCCGGAGAGGCGTGGGATACGGAGACGACGGGAAAGACGCCTTTCAAATTCCCATCACTAGGTACAACCACTGCATAACCGTCGACAATACTCGCTCTGAAAGCAGGGACATTTTCCCTCGCTTGCACATCTTCGGCTAATACATGGCCAGGGAGCGATCTGTCGACCTTCAACGTGACGGCTTCTGGCAATGGCGTGTGGTCCTTAATCTTGTTGAGGGCATCGTCAACCGAAAGCATTGGATAGGGGGATTCTCTGTTCCTACGGCTAGGGCCTAGGCTGGGATCGTTGGATAGTGGATTCGTGCTAGGCGCCGTATGCCTAACTAAATGACCATGGCCGTGGCTATGTCCGTGTCCATGACTATGGCTATGGCTAGGCGGATGGTTATTCCCGTGGTCATGACGATGATAATCGTGAGAATGCGAATGTGAATGGCCTCCACTGGACTTTATACCGGCCTCTGCCTCAAGCTTCTTGATTCCACCTACGTGTAATGATCTAGAATCCATACCCGCAGCCTGGAGGCATGCGTGCGGTAGTGTCTTTAAAACTGCCTGTAGATTTTCTCGGGCTCCTTTTGGAGATCCCGGAAGAGTTATGATGATTGATCGGTTCCTGATACCCGCAACCGGGCGAGACATCATAGCGACTTATATGGTCAGTTGATGATCTTATAATATATTCCAAGGCTTGTATACTAACATGGAGTGACGTTTAAAGAAGCCGTCAGCATGCCATGAACAAGCCCAGGTGCGGGTTTATGAATCAGGGCCGAAACAGCCTAGATTCGGTTAGCTAAATTGCTACATTTCTTGATTAACTATAGAATACATTGGACTTATATCATTTACCTCTGGTGTATTGTCCGCCACCGCAAAACCCGTTCCCCCAGTAGTAAGTATGAGGTTAAAAGTTTCGGCGGCCACATCCGTCCATAACATAAGCTGTTGTTGAATCTGAGTAGCAACATCAGGAACTATCTTAGTATCAACGAGCTCCCAACGCCCATCGCCTTCTTCTTCAAGAACGCTGCTTAAAGCTGCCTGAGAAGCATCGGTCGATGGATCCCTAGCCGCCGTCGTAGAGACGATGAGTAATGCGACCCTTAAGGTAGCATTAGACATAATTTCCGTAGACTAATCCGGCAATTATGAGATTTAATTAGGATATAGTTAAATACAAATATAACTTAGGAATATTTTCGAGTTTATGCCAATGGCTGTTGAATTGAGATGAATAAAATTAGAATGAAGATTCAGAGTGTAAGTGAATCTTGGACCTGTATGGTGGTGTATGAGAGAGAAGCATCATTGGTACAGTGCAAATGCGGGGCCAGAATATGTCGGCTTTTACTTAGTCAAATAGCTCGTCTTCCATCGAGAGGAACGGAAGCTTGGAATGATATTAAAAGTTTATAATTTATAAAAAGATAATGTGATTACAGATATCTATAAGCTGCTTCCTGAGACCTTAACATACCTATACATAATTGGTAACTACCTCATATGAGTGTGACTTCTACAGGTAATACATCAATACCTTAGCACGCGTTGTGGACCTAGGTATTTCATGGATTATGTCACACAATCTCCACCGTAAAGTGTTCCCCGTTGTTCCCCACATAGCTCTGATAAGATAAAGCTTCTCCCAACAACGGAAATTTTCCGTACCTATTTCGTAACTTCTCGACCCGAATCTTCACTTATCTTTTCCGCGCACGCGATTATCACGTGTTAGAGCGTATCCTGACTGTACTTGTGCTCCTTTAACACCAGGTAATTCCGAGAGTCCCGAAAGTGGATGGCTTCTTAAGAAAAAATGGTCCGAATCAAGGAGCGTTACCTCCTAGTGAAGATCCTCTACCCGAATGAACTTGGTAGTCGCTCGGATCTCCCTGATGTTGTAGTTATCAACCAGCCTACGACCGACCAACTCAACCCCGCAGGTCTCCTCAGGGGCATACGCGCCGAGGTTGCCAGTTTGTTTGGGGACTACGGTTCGGGACTTGTCGAAGGCGGAAACTTAGGAGGTGAGTCAGCCGTGTGAAATCGTCGCGACTTATACACAGCTCACGTTGGCGTTACTAGTTAAATACTTCTCTCACGCCACTTCTACCTTTATTTTGCGTATTTCGCGATCATCATATCGCCTCGTCTGGGCCGCTCTCACCTTCATGAGCAGTGTTCCGGTTAAGAATGGGAAGCCATGCATCTTCCGTGTTGTCCACGTAAGTGGTACTATGCGTAAAGCGGAGGAAGAAGCTATCCGCCGCGCTCGAAATCTCATTTTTGCGGCGGAGAACGACCACAAAGAAAAGGCTAGGGATACCTTTAGTAATATGTTCGGGGAATTCGAACTACCGCAACGTGAAATTGCCATGACAGACTTACTAGACGTTGGAGACGATGGTAGCGACGTAGAGATGGGGGAATTAAGTGACGGTTGAGGGAATCACTGCTTTTTGCGAACTACCTTAATCCCGCTATCACCTGTTGGTGGCGGCATTCCGTCGAATTCGTCATCGTCGTCATCGGGGATCAGGTCTGGTGTGGTAGTTCCCGTATCGCCCTCCATTCTTCTGCGCTGCTCTTCCCATTCCTTATCCTCCGCTGCATCATATGCATCTTTCGCGTCAATCCATCTCTCTTGGATGTCCTGGACTTCCATCATCGACCCTTCGTTGCGCATTGCAACCTGCCAGATGGAGTCATTCGCGCCCTCCGCGCCGCCGAAAACATAACCACTCGCTCTATCGATAACCCGCAAAAGATGCGTCATGCTCTTCTTATTTTCAACAGCAAGAACTTCGAAACGAACCAGAGCAAAGCTCTCCACTAGGTTGGCGACAGCTTCGTTTAGTCTACGGAACTTATCACTGCGCATTGCAGGTGATTCCTCTTCAAGGACCGTCATAAGGTACGAGAGGTCTTGTACTTCAGTGTAGTAATCGAGGTTAAAGGGCAGCGGGTCGTAGGACGAGACTTTATCGATCTTGGTAAGAACGTTTATGTGAGGAAGGTCCATCTGAAGCATGGCGCGAAGGGTTAGTAGTAGGTTGGATATGTAAAGGGAAGGCTGAGTAAGACAGAAGCTATCGGAAAGATGGACGGCGACAAGCTACGGTCTGTTAGTCTCTTGGATCTGAGAAAACATGGTTACTGCAAGTGCGTACCCGGTAGCCCAACTTTTGGAGCTTAAAGAAGATATTCCGGAGCGAGTTATGATGCGTATATAGCTCAACCTGGCCGGGACAGTCAAAAAGAATATACGACTCTCCCAACTCCTTTAGTCCATTCTCAAGCCATTCCATGTTGTTCTCAAGCTCTTCAAACGCGTATAGTATACCGCCGTTTGGTCCAAGCTGGTCATCTTTCATGATCTCTTCGAGGGTAATGAAATCGCGAATGTCTAAGGCACAAGGATAGTTCGTGTGGTCGTTGGCAGGATCTAAGTTCACCACAGAACATTCGCGCCCTATCGCGCTCATGTACTGGTGCACTGCGAACAGTTAGAGAAACTGAGTGCTGAACAAGGAAATCATAGAAGAGCTAGTTGGGGTAGCTTACTGCCATCGCAATAAGTGCTCTTTCCCGAGCCTGGACTCCCTAAGACAAGTTGTCCGAAGGGCATATTGTGCTTTTTTGTGCAAAAGCGTAGTATTACAAAGCTGAGGAAGCTGAGGAGTTTTTATAGGAGAGTTGTAGGAGGGTGAAGAAATGGGCGACGGGAATGCGGAATGCAGGCTGAAGTTGGTAAAAGGGAAGCTACAATTGCCCCTCCATCCTCCATCCCACTTCGACGAGCTTCGGGGAAAATTAAAGTGGGTAAAGATAAAGTGGATAACGGTAAAGTGGAACCAAGCATGTCTTATCACTGGGGTAATTCGTACCCCTGTAAAGTCCTAACGTATTGATATTTACTTTGCCGATTTCTCAATTGGTTATTTCATCACCTATTCAGCAGAGAGCTTCAATTCTCCATATATCACCGCGTAAAAGTTCCCAAGGCATCATGGCACCACCAGGTACGTTAACCTAATTATCTCCTACTACGCAAATTGGGTTGATTCCCAAACCCTTTCCTTTAGTCGGCCATCTAAATAAACTAACAAACACGAAAACACAGCAACGCAGTTCGAGCTCTCGCAACCGCCTAACGACGCCATCTCGGCGCTCGCCTTTTCGCCAGATTCGCCGTCGCGCTTGCTAGCTTCCTCCTGGGACAAGAACATCTACCTGTACGACACGCTGCAGAACGGCGACGACGGGAGCCACGGCACCCTGCTGCGAACGTTTGAGAACCGCGCGCCGGTGTTGGACGTGTGCTTTGGGAGAGATGGCAACGAGGCTTTCAGTGCCGGCATGGATTGGCAGGTCCGGCGCATCGACCTTGATAGCGGCGAGCAGGCTACCTTAAGCAAGCATGCTGCGCCTGTGCGGAGGGTGGTATATAACAAAGAACACTGTAAGCTCCTCTACTCGCCAAGGGGAATAATCAGAGGTCATTGGATTAACTCGTTGTAGCTCTACTCCTATCCGCCTCCTGGGACAGTACCCTACACGTTCACGACCCGTCGAACCCTTCTCTCTCTCCTTTAATTGTCCCTCTCCCCGGCAAGCCGCACGCAATGGCTGCTAGCCCATCCAAGGTGATCGTGGCCATGACATCGCGACTAGTGCACATCTACGACCTATCCGCCCTTTCCAGCGCGCTAGCCTCGCAATCTGGAGAACCACCGCAGCCATGGCAACAGCGCGAATCGTCCCTAAAATTTCTGACGCGCGCCGTAGCTGCCATGCCCTCTGATGCCGGATACGCGACGTCGTCGATCGAGGGGCGCGTGGCGGTAGAATGGTTCGACGCGAGCGCCGAGTCGCAAGCCCGCAAGTACGCCTTCAAATGCCACCGCACGGCACAACCACAAGCCGACGGCAGCAGCACCGATGTCGTTTACCCCGTCAACTCACTCGCCTTCCACCCCGTCCACGGCAGTACTTTTGCCAGCGGTGGCGGTGACGCCACCGTTGCCCTATGGGATGCTGAGGCCAAGCGCCGCATGAAAGTATACCAGAAGTTTGCAGACAGCGTCGCAGCCCTTGCATTCAGCTCCGACGGGCGGTATCTCGCCGTCGGTGTGTGTCCCGGTTTCGAGACGGGTATGGAGGACTACAGCGGCGAGGGTCGTACCAAGATATTTGTGAGGGAGCTCGGCGAGAACGAAGCCTTACCTAAGGGCAAGGCAAAGTAGACAAGTAATAACAGGCTAACCGAAAATCCGAAAGAGTTGCAACAACGTATAGCTGTATCATCTATCTACTAAGAACTTTCTAGGGACCCGGAGCTGGCTGGCGTTAAGAGCGGAAGGGAACTTTGAATTCTATAAAATGCAATTTTCTATTATTTTAAGGTCATACAAGTCCTCGGGTGATCACTATCTTGTAGGCGTAGCTGGCATCCGCTTCAAAAACGATATTGCCAGGCTACCTACAGTACTTCGCCGTGACATTACTTCTAATTGTTCTAAGAACGTTTGCTAATGCGCCAACATAAATCCCTCAGTTCGACAACACAGTAACTGATGTGTTATACACTAGGTGAGTATGAATATCAAAGCTAGAATAAGGCCAATCCACCTATCATTTCCATAGGTATAGCCAGTTGTTTCAACATTTAGATCCCTTCGAATCGAGTAAAATCGATGTACCCATAGGGTATAACATGGCCAGACGTAGACTCCCATCTATTAACCCGGTCTACTGTTCCCAAGTTCCGGCGATACCGGTTCAGTCTCGTTCTCTACGCCACCAAGAACAAAGATGGCAGAATCCCTAGCGCTAGACTCTCGGCTCCGGGACTCATTTGGTGTGCCTTCATAACTATCTACTTCAAGCACCTCATCATCGTCGATCTCACTCTCATTATACGTTGAAGGTATAGTTATATCTTCTTGATCTGCTTCATACCCTTCTTCATGCTCATACGCTTCGTTCCTCGGCTTCGACTGCTTGATATAATGCACCTCTGAACTCTGATACCCTACGTTATCAATAAAATGCGGCTCGCTTCTTTCCTTCAAACGTCCAAAATTCTCGAAATCCGAACGTTTTCTTTTCCGTAGCGTCGAAGGCTTATACGAGAATATGCCTTGGTTTTGAGGAGTTAAAAAAGTAGGCTGGGTCAGCATGTTGGAAGAGATAGCTCCCTGGGTTTCCAGAGTAGTGGATCTCCGGTGTCGCGGTCCCAATTCCTCTACAAAGTTTTCCTTGGTAGGCCAGACGTCTTTTGCTATGCCACGCCGGTTTTTTATCACACGTTGAGTCGGTGTTGAATGTTGGAACTTCGAGCCACTGAGCCTTGATCCACGCACATGGCCTTTATTGGTAACCTCACTTTCTAGTTGGAGCTTACCCATACCCGGAAGTAATTCGGGGCTTCTTTGCTTGTGCGTACTGGTCATGAAGAACAAGAAGCTCGGCCTGGCTTCGTCCCCTGAGAATCCATCACCCGCCCGCCAGGGTGGTTCTGGTTGACCACGAGGCTTGGGGAAGCGAAATTTATTGTTTCCTTTATTCGTCCTTATTCGAAATGCACCTTTTCGCTCATATGTCACTTGCTCGCTGTTATCATTGCATTCCATATGCCCAGTCAGCGGCAGCTGGGGTATAGTCACTCCCTGCGATTTAGCGCTCCCAGTCCTTTTGATTATGGGCTTGCTGAATGGCGTATCATCACCGTCTACCTTCTGTCTCTTTCGCGACTCAGCACCGTGAGGATAAGATGTTCCTCGTTTTCTAGATCGATGATCTGCACTGTTTGTCTGCTTTGGGGGTTGAGTTCCCTTGCGAGGCACTCTTAATACTTCATCGTCGCGAGAACGGTATAAATCATCTGTATGACTCAGCGCAGTCGGGCTACTCCTCCTATTATCATACAGGTTAAATCTTCTCGAAAGGTATGATTTTACATATGATGATTTATAATAAATAGGTAGGCTTTGAGTAGAAGGTGTTAAAACATTGTAATATACCTTGATAATCGACGCCCCAGGATATCTCCAGGGGCAGATACGATGGATCTTCTCCGTTTCACATTTGCGCGGATGGGAGAGGCTGGTATATCCCTGGCCGTGTCACTATGTAAATTTAGAGCCTCATCTGGTCCAGAAGGGTGTTCGCCGTTAATATTTAGGAGTCGAGTACGCTCTGGGAGGGCCGCGGTCGCTACAGGACTAACCAGGGGTTGATAAACCATTGAACTAGTTAATATGGGATCCATAGACGACGGGATCGTAGGCAATTCGTCAAGCCGTATTGGCTCTTGTTCTGGAGCCATGGTAGCAATGTGGTTAGTTCAATCATATGGGTTTCGCAAGACCTTGTATGATGTAACCCGGTCTAGAAGACTTCGTATACACTACCCATATGATTATTTGGAGCAGAGATGAGATAGAAAGCTCTTTTATATGTTACAAAGTAAATGTAAGTGTCGTTTAAGAATTTCCTACGCATTTTGTGGACTATGGGGCCATGGAAGGAGGAACAGAGAAATTATAATAGCTTAATCACTTAGGAGGTGCCTAATAAACTTTAACTTGCAGAGGTAGGGACAGTGTAGGCGCTACTTCCCCCTTAAGGCCCTAGAGCAAAGTTTTATTAGGTAACTTCCAGATAGGAAAATTCGGACGGCCTTATTATATAATTAGGTATGCTTTCGCATCGCAGCAGACATGGCAATCTGTATAATCAGTTACTTCCCGCGCGCCGAGCTTCCTTAAATCCATGTTCGATTAAAAAGGGGTCAACCCTCCATTTTCTACACAGAATATCTTGATATAGAAAAACCTTTAGATAGCTTACGAAGACAAGGGTGATGAGCCTATAATGGTTCCTTTCGAATTTTGAACAGGAGCATTGTATCAAAACCAAGGTGCCGGAAAGCGAAGAAGGTAAAGCTACAAGGACTCTAACGCGTAGAATTTTTGTTTCCTTTGCGCTGAGGGTTCGCGGATTTCCAGTAAGCCATTCTATATCTCTGGAGTAAGCTTTCACTGACGATTACTTTTTGTAATGTTGTACCTGGAGGATAGGTAGTCTTATAATTGCGAAAACCATCTAGTACTTTGACTCTAAGTCAACACCAGGCGATCTAGACTACGTAGGTAAAGGAAGACAGAAATAGGGTAATGAGTACCAGGTGTTTGAAACTGTAACAGCAAGCCGTGATGGCCCAATCCTTATTTTCAAACCCCGAGAAAGTGGAGGCGAGTTTTAAAGTACAACTTTAATATATACACGCAGGTAGTTCATTGTATCGTTGGAACTTTCTATATATTGCAAACCTCCTACTCAAAGTGACTTAGACTTTAGTTATACATCTTCGTTGCACTTCATAAAAGCATATTTGTATATATTTTCTTGCATTCATCGTATAGTAAGCACGCCAAACTTAGATACCTATATAAAATGCAAGTTGAAATCTTACTCTCCCTTCAAGAAAAAGTAAAAACATAGGCACTCTCCACATCTCCGTAACCCATCGCCCAAAACCACGCTGAGTTCCGATGCCGAACATCACGTTTCAACAAGAGGATCCATCTCAACAATTCCTCACATGTTCCTATCAGTTTAAGAGCCATGTAGCCATGGTTCAATAATACCTGTAGGTGAGCCACTTCCAAACATCCGAGAATGCACGAGTACTCTACTCTCCTGCCTTCTTCGGTGTGATGGGCTTTGGCTCGTTGACGTAGTCAGTTGTACCTCCCATATTCAGCACCCAGACCTTGCCCGGGTGATCAGGCAGCTGGGGGCCATACAAGAACGAACTGGGGAAACCGAGTTCGAAAGGAACAGCGCTTTCGATTTCCCTGATATCTTCGTCATCGAGAATCAACGTAAGAGCCTCGATGTTGGCCTTTAAATGCTCCTTGGTCCTTGTGCCGACGATCGGGAAGACGTACGGCGCTTTATGCATAACGTACGCTTGAGCCACACTAGTAATGATGGTGTTCCTGCGTATAGCTACCGATTCGAGGGCCCTGCTGACCCTCATTTCCGTCTCAGTAATATCACCAGCGCGTCCAATGGTCTTCCTCTGGCGCTGTTCTTCCGTTTTGAACTTGCCTCCGCCGAGCGCACCCCACGGAGCAAGGCTCATCCCCTCGGCCTTGGTCATGGCGATAATTTCTCGCTCGAAGTCACGCGAGGCGGCCGACCATCGACCCTGATAAACGCTAAATTGGCGTAATCCGTGGTTGCGAGCGTACTCATTGGCTTTGCTCACAACCCAAGCTGGTGTATCGCTAATTCCAAGATAGAGGACCTTTCCTGCTAGCACGAGACGGTTAAGCGACTGCATGAGCTCGGGGATTGATGTGCTGCCGTCCCACCAATGAACATAGAGCTACATTCCGGTGTTAGCAGGCCTTGTACAGCATGGATATAAGAGGTAGATATATAATACCAAGTCAATATAATCCGTCTGTAGCTTTTTCAAACTCTCATTGACGGACACGTGTAAGCTCTTGGTCCCATTGCCCTGAGTGTTGATTATGATTTCTTCATAGTCTGTTTTGTAGCTGGTGCTATACTTGGTGGCGATTACTATAAGTAACATCTATCAGTTTAACTACCCCTTTTGATATGATATGGTTGTTTAGGTATATATTACATCAGTCAAAACACGAAATAAAACAATTAACATACCCATCTGATCGCGGACACCACGCTTCTTCATCCACTCTCCAATCCACTTTTCAGATTGCTCGGCTTGGTAGTTGTTAGCGGTATCTATAAAGTTGCCGCCCTGCTCGTAGAAGAAGTCGAGGATTTCTTCTGTGGTCTTTTGATCGCAAGCACCCATCTGATCGGCCCAAGCCACACCGAAATTCATAGCCCCCAGACACAAGGGGCTAACTCGGACATTGGCCGTTGGGGATAAGATGCGGTAACGAGCCAGAGGGCTTTTTGGTGGCGGTGCCATTACCATTGCCGACATGTTGATAAAAGGTTTTATAGAATAATGTTATATATAGGAGGTCTAGGGAAACAGAAGTGAGGACGGTGATGACTTCCCTTTGATGGACTATACTTTAGGTAAGTACCTAAAGGCTAAGGTAAACTTTAAGATGAGGTAATACGTCCAAGTTGCACCTGCTCGAGATCTAATCAGATGATGTTATAGGGTCATGAACCTTCAACATGTAAAAGAGCAGGAACTTAGCTGCCCTTTTATAAAAGAGGTTGATTGCTTACCTACACTACCGCGCCTGGGTGGAGGGCGGACATGATCTCAGGGATTGTCCTGACAATTCGAAATGATTTCAATTAGGAGACTAGCTTTTGACGATCCTATAAATGAGTAATTTTGTTAACGAAACCCTTATGCGATTTGGTGATGTTTTCGAATTGGAGACGATTATGTAAAAATATATTATATTCAAAAAGACAAAGTTACGAAGTTCCGAAATTATATATAAAATATAAGGGTTTTAAGAAATAAAATACTTACTTTTTTAAAATATTTACGTACCTTCGACATAGTCTTGGAGATTATTTTAAAATCTCGAAATCATGTCGGTATAAGGATATATTTATTGAATTAAAAAAAAAGAAAAAACATACAAACGTATATATTTATTTACATATAATACCATATTATTATTACGAATAGTTGAAAATATAGAATATTATTTGTTATAATTAAGGCTTGAATTACAGGTTTACAAATACGATTATAATTACAATTACAATTATAATTGTAATTACGATTATAAGTCTACGCGCTTTACGATTGAGTTAAGTCTTACGTTGCTACGATTTTATGGGAAATAATAGCTAGCTTGTTGTTACAGTATATAAAGTCGCAATAAGGGAAGGTAGGTGCAATTCGAGGTAGGTATAATAAGTTATATTTACGAATAGGTCGTACTTACCTGGGCCAAAATGATTCCCGAGATTATTTTAAAAGGCTGAAATCGTTTCGAAAGGTTGAGATCATCTTAGAAAGTTAAAATCATACAAATTTAATATAATCCCTATGACTATTTCAAATATAAAGCTATTTTCATTTAACATCATCACGGAGATTCGAAATGATTCGATATGCAATACTATTTTGGTAATCATATCGGAATATAGTAATAATATTTAAATTTTTAAAATAATCTTATAAGGTAATATAATCCCTAAAATCATGTCCGCCCCCTACCCTGGCGCGGTAGTATACTAACCTACCTGCCTACCTACTAAGGTATTAACGAATACGCAGTCTAATGCGAGGCAAGCCATTACCACCTTCATTGTTACACCTATGATTTAGCTCATTCAGTACCTACCTACCTAACATTCTGCATACCGCATACCTGTTCTTCCACCACATGTTCGATATAGATACCTAGCTGTACTACCCTAAATTACCAACAGGTCGTATCTCTACGATTTCCGATTGCTAAGGAATGACGAATTCACAACCCAACCCTTTTATTTCCGTGTAGATTTATTCTCCATACAAAGGTATATTACATGTACCTCATGAATATGGGGACAGGGCGAGATGTATAGGCGTCATGCTACTACTGCCTACATGTAAGATACTTACCTGTCGATGGATTTTGGTGTTTGATATGTCCGTAACGTCCGAGCAGAACACGTCTTAAAGTAGACAATTTCTAAGTCCGGATAGTAACATGCATTATTATTGGCTGGTTTTTGAATGCCGAATTTAGCGTGCCAAGACTTGTAATGCCCTATTCAAGTAATGGTCGACTTATATGAGGTCCAGATGTCACCGTGAATATCAACAATCCATATTTCTAGCTGCAGATGAAACAAACACTGGCTCCATCTGATCTGATCTTGCTAACGGAGTCTTCTTATACTCCGGTAAAAAGTCTAACGGGTTCCTCGCGGACACCGAGGGTAAAGTATACTGGTGATAACTTTGCATATATGGACATAGGTTACATTCCCTATTGTGGTCAAACGCAAAGCCCCTCGCATTAGAATAAGAAGCACTATTACATATGTCTACCTGCCTTGATATAAGGCCCGAATGCAAGGTCTACATTAATTCCTACGCTGGTTTATGCCGAGAGACTTAAGTGTTACAAATTGTGAAGGTATTATGAGCGAGATGATCTAGAAACCCCACTAGAAGAACACGCAGTCGTACAATAAGGCTGTCCACCATCTAAGCTCAACAAGTACTTAAAAACTTGGTTAGCTCGTAGAGATAACGGGGACGGAGTAGGAAAAGGGGTTAAGGCTCAATAATAGGTGTAGTTCTGGGTCTTTAACTACGCTACATCAGACTACTAAAAGTGGGCAGGAAAA